AATGTGATGTTTACACTTGATAAAATATGCTTCGTTAAACCCCAACTCTCGTGTTTACAAATAGTTTCAAGGTTCTTTTGATGGTGTATGACACACTCACATGGCAAATACCAAATAATCTAGTACTTCCATCGTACAACCTATTGCACGTTATGGTAATTTAGTCTGAATATGGCATTGTACTTCCATTTGTACTTCATTCAATGCACATCATATCATTTCATAATGCTTCCATTGTCTTATCCACGACATTCCATTACTTGATATTTAAAGACATCATGTTATGTTCCTTTTTATGCATTCTCAATTTGTACATCTTATTTGATTGCATTTAGTTTATTCTTTATGACTTGTACCTTATACTTGCTAATTGTCTATTTCTTTCCAACTCATATAAAAGTTAAGTAGCTAATTGTCTATTTCTTTCCAACTCATATAAAAGGCTGCGTCCTTTTTGTTACTTAAATAGATATACAAGTCTTCCAAACACATTTTCATTCATATAATAACACAATAACACGTTAATATAATAACACATTAGCCATAACATTTACTTTATTTGATATCAATACTTCTTTTTCCTCCCAACTCCTCCATTAAAAGTGATGAATAATGTGAATTGTTTTATATGTATGGGTAAAATAATCATTTAATCTCGTCCAAAGGATTTATTCATTTTAAAATATAAGCATGCATTATGAATACAACTATCCAGACAGACATCATTACTCGTTCAGCCACTATCCAGACAGACATCATTACTCGTCCAAAGGATTTATCCAAACATAATCTTACATTTAATCTCTAAAATCTATAAATACCCATGTGCATCAATTTAACATTGGTGAAGTTTGGGATATTCGTTCATCTTCTAGAAGATCATATGGATCAATATATTGTGGTAGTTGTATTTGTTTTGTGGTACCATCATGGACAAATTTTGGTCCAAAATACTGCCAAAAAAAAAAAAAAAAAAAAAAAAAAAAAACATATATCAAGGATGATCATCACTTAAAAGGAAAAGATCAATGAATCATATTCATAAATGAAACAAAGAATCCATGATAGCATCATGAATAGAGAGTGCTTACAATATAAATAGCAGTGAATGATCCAATGGTTAAAAGGATCAATGGCCAAAATGCTAAGAAGAATGTTCCTCCAAGACTTAGCAAGACTTTAGCTCGTGGAATCAAACCCTGTACATCATGCAAAAAAGATGACATAATTTGTCATAGATCCTTCAAATCGGCTTAAATACATAATATGAATGTTAACGAAGTAGAAAAGTTTTAACCTCAAGGCCCTCACTGTTCAATGCCATGGATTGCTCCCTTTGATTGAAAAGGCTTTTATCAAGATCTGTTGACACAGTTTTTCTGGTTGAAAAGCTTCCATCTTCTTCGTTATACCTAATCTCATCATTAATGGAAGCAGTCCAGCTTTCATCGAGCAATGAAGTGGGAGTGATTCCTCGTCGTTTCAATTCCTTCATAAACAAAGACTCCGGAGGTTCTTCACCTGACATTATAAATTTCAATCTAATTAACATCAATCCATGTATTTCTACGTTAAAATGATTCGTCATCTGAGATTCGTTCGACGCCCAATTTGGAAATGCTTTCGATTTCTTCAAATTAATGATTATCAGCGTATCCAAAGCCATCATACAACATATCCTTAGCAATTAAACTAAACATAAACTCTGATTTTGCAATATCGAAGAGAAATTGGATTTCTAATTAAGAGATAAAAAAAACAACACGAAAGTGATCATGCATGAATTAGAAAGTACCATTTGTTTTAGTATTATCATCAGCATCTTGAATTCTGCAAGAAATCCTAAACCTTCTGTTAATCACTAGCTTTGGACTGAACTTAACGATTCTTATATTGCCAGTGGAACAACGTCGTTCATTCCGTCGGAAACACGATTGGGAAGCTAAAAACGGATATAAATCAGCTTTGAACATCTTAAGAGAAGCCATTGTTAATGTTCTTCACTGTTTTCTGATATAATTTGGGGATCTTAATCGATTTTTGGATAGAAAGTGAGAGAGAAATATGAAGCAGCCTGCAACCTGCGAGTATCTGTTATATCTGGAGTAGAAAGGGATGTTGATTGCTATTGTGCGCTGAATTTATGTGGTGGATTGGTGGAGCTTCGTGGCTACAAAAACCACCTGTACAAATTGAACGAAACGTGCTTCTTCATTAAATTCGAAAGATAATAATATATTTTTATTGAGTTGCTATTATTTTTATTTTATTCTGTTATATTTATTTTTTTATTAAAGATTGTAATTTAAAAAAAAATAGATATATATATAAATATCATGTAAATACAAAATTAATTTACAATTATAAGTGATAGATCTTTAAAATATAATGTTTTAATAATGAAAAAGTTTAAATATAATATTAGGACTCGATAAGATTATGGTACTGATAATGATATACTTCATCTTCCCAAATTATGTCCAAAATAAAAAGCCTTAATTAATATAAGTTTAAATTCACAAATTAATCATTTTCTTTTATTTCTTTACTCTGGTTTGTTAAGATAACATGAATAGTTTTTGGATTTAATCATTAAAAATCTACCTTGTTAATATTAAAATTGTATATTTTTTTTTTTTAAATAATGGATCTTGATGTTCATTGAGATGACATCAGTTTTCGGATTTAAACATTAAAAAAACGAATTATAGTTTGATTGGTTCGCATCGGATTTTTAATTTAGTTTGAACTATTTTAATCTATGTTTCGAAAACCAATATCGATTTGGATTCACCTATTCGGATTGGATCGAGCCAATTCATTCAAATGAACACATCCTAGGCCCGTGGACATGCAAAAATATGAAGGATGAAGCATGCATATGGTACATAATGATAAAGCAGTCCTAAAGTAACAATACGATCCAGTTTTGTGTATATAGATACTTGAAATGATGTATGCTTAGATATGAGTATTATGTTATCACATGTTGTGCATGTTTCATGTCTCATGTCCTTTCAAGTCTAGGTGTTGGCATGTCCATGGGTTTGTTTCATCTCTAATGTACCACATTGCTAATGAAAACTTATCCAGAATAGTCAACTCTCTCGATAAACCTCAAAAACTTTGTAAAGTGTGTCTGGACCACACAAAGTGACCCTTGGACATGAGGGATTAAACAAGCCTAGAAAAAATACAAAGTGCAATAATCTCTAAAACGTCATAAACTATTTGGACCACTCAAAGTCATCTAAAGAATGAACTTCATGCATAAGATGCAACATCTATTTAATTAACTTAATATTGTTAACGTCATTTAACATGCAATTTCATAAAATAGAAATCTATCATCTAAGCATGCAAAGCATCATAATAATCATGATCACAATAAACTCATCATTGAATAGCATAAAATATCAACTAGATTTAAATCAAAAAAAATGTCAAAATATTTAGTCTTGTGAGGAAAAAAAAAGATTAGTTTTTTTTTTTTTTTTTTTTGGGGGGGGGGGGGGGGGGGGAAGTAAACAAGTTAAATAAGAAGTCTGCTAATTTTGGTAAACCTACAACGTACCCTACTCTTGAGGGTTTTTCTGAAATAAAATAAAATTTTGGAATTAAAACTGAAACTTTGTAAACGTTTAGGTGCTGTTTATTTTTTCTGAAGCAAAATTTTTGCAGTCTACGGACCACATATACATACATTTGCAGTAGAAGATGTGGACCAAATGTCTGCGGCATGAAAGAGAATGATTGTTTGTTTTTTAATGTCTGCAAGCTGCTAAAATAAACTAAAATCTAAATAACCTGATTTTTTTAAACTTAAAAGAGTTTTTCAATACATTTATAACTTTATTATAAATAAATTAACAAATCTGTATGAAATTTTATTGGATAAAAAATGAAAATAAAATAGTACAAATATTTGGTAAAAACCAACAAGCTTTAGTTGCAAAGTTATACATAAATATTGTTATTAGGGATCAAAGAATTAACATATATCACCAAGAAGGATAAGCACGTCAGACGTTCTCCGGGAGGGGCTCCCACGAAAACGCTCTGACGGTCAAATTAGTGTCTAGAGAAGAGAGTTGTTATATGACTCTATGAGTTAGGGTATGAGAGCTTCCCCTCTACAGCTTCATGACGAAGGCCTTTTATAGTAAGGCATTGTGATTGGTCTCGCACGGGGGATAGGGACGTCAGATCTGACAGATCTGACAGGGGACAAAGAAGATAATTGGAGGATCGTGCTCTTCTCTTTGGCCAATGTTTGCCTTTTATCGCAAGCCAACAATGTATGTTGAAGGACTAAGCATGTGTGGGTTCGCTACCGCGGAGCGCGATCCAACTGGATTGGAGCGAGAGTTTGCGGGCGTGGAGCATAGTCGCTTGTCAGATGGCACTGACTTGACGACCCAACGGCCGCCAACGTAACCTGCTACATGTTTTATGTTATTCATTGGGTGGGTCCAAGGGATACGTCATCAATTAACATCATTTATTGTTGTGTTAATTTTACTTTAAGAAAAAAGTATTCAATTTATCTTAATGATCACATTATAAAAGAATCATTTCCAACAAAATCAGTAATATCGAACAAGTAATTTTAGATCATAATTTTTTAGGGATGACAAATCGAGAAATCGTGTCGTGTTTTTATCCGACATGACATGATAAAATTTTATGTAACACAAACACGACACGAAACGATGGCGTGTTTTTTAACTAATACGAAAACGAACCGATTAAAAAACAACAAACACGACATGACACAACAAAGATAACATAAAATAACAATTAGTTTATTTAATTAATACTCCATCATATATAACACAACAAACCAGACAAACACGAAAAACATGACAGACATAAATCATTTAAATTTTGTGTCGAATTTTGAACACGATCACGACACGACATCGTGTTTTTTACACTTGACACGAACACAAATTCAAAATTTAGTTTCGTCTTAATTTCATTTCGTGTCATGTATTTGTGTAATACCGTGTCATTAATTGTCACCCTATAATTTGCAACAATTGCCACCCTATAATTTTCAAGTAGAGAAAAAAAAAGCATCTAACAAAAATTGACACAAAAATAAATTTAAGATATATTAAAAAGACCTCACATGTGAATATTCGATTTGTTAGACTTCAAATCAACACTCTGATCTTATACTTCTGTGTTCGACTGTTCCTGTACCAGATGCCAAGTAACCAAAATACAATATTGCAACTTTCCAAAGTCAATGACAACTCATGAATAAATAACCCAACACTAAAAAAAGTCAACGTCAAACTACTCACTTTTTGAACTCAAAATCAAAGTTTCTCATTCAAATCCAGATTAAACAAAACATCTACAATTGACTAACATAAAACCAGCTACCAAGAACAAAGTTTTCCATTTTCCAAACCAAACATAAACCCATGTGATATTGCATTTTTCAAAACGACATATTTGACCAAAAAAAAACAAACCGCATAAGGTACTAAATAACTTTGACTTGGAGCGTTTGGTAAACGGTTGGAATAGCATCTGAAACTATTAACACCGCATCCCCTTCTTTCAACATCCCTTTGGCTTTTATGAGATCAATCGTTTTCGCCATGTTGGCGTCCATGTCATCCGACAAGTCAAAGAAAATCGGTATGACTCCCCATTGCAAATTGAGCGCCATTTGTGTGCTTTCCTCATTTGTGAATGCAAATATTGGGGGAATCGGCCGATTGCGTGACAAAAGTGACGCCATTTGCCCATGTTTCGTGTACACAAAAACCGCATCCACTCCAAGATTATTAGCTGTACACCAACACATAGTGGTCTTACATAAGTACAAAAAAGAACCCCGTACTTTCACAAATTTATCAATTTTGTCATGTAATATTTTTTTTAGCGATTAAACCATTATACCTTTTCAAAATAACATTTTTCCCCGTTACCCATTTTGAATATCAGGAAAAATACAGAAAAATACAAATTCTTTTTTATTTTTTAAAAAATTAACTAACTTATTTACCCATTCGGCTAGCAGAGTTGCATATCTGTTCAGCAATTTGATCAGGCAACGAGACTCCAAGTTCACGTTGAGGAAAAGATGGCTGTTGATTCTCTTCACGACTCCATAACTCCATTCGTGTGCTCGCCATTCTCAACACACAAAGCGCCTTTTCTCCAAAACATCCGATTGCTGACTCACCAGATAACATTAATGCATCCGCATATTGTCTAACTGCCTCCGAAACATCCGCAACCTTTCTCACACATCAAATCGAAAGTAACATCATTATTTCTTAAATATTATTACTAGTAAAAAAATTAAGTAATTACCTCGGCTCGTGTTGGAGTAGGATATTCAATCATGGACTCGAGAAGTTGCGAGGCTACAATTACAGGCTTGTTGAGTTGCCTACATAGGGCGATGATTTTCTCTTGAACTGTTGGAATTTGTTCGAGTGGTATTTCAACTCCAAGATCACCTCTTGCCACCATTATTCCATCCGAAGCTTCCACTATCTCTTCGAGGTTGTGCAGAGATTCCAAACTCTCAATCTTAGCTAAAACCTTAATCGATCTACACATGCAAAAATTCATGTTTTACATCATCACATGACATTAACAGATTGTAATTTTCAGTCTACTCATTTTGTCCTTTTGTTTGCTATTTAAGCGCTTACTTATTTTTGTTAAACAAGTAGTTTTTTAGATGTATGACTGCATCGGCATCTCTAACGAATGACATGGCAATAAAATCAACCCCTTCGGAGATTCCAAATTCAATATCAGACCAATCCTGTTAATCGAACACCATAAATAAAATTAATCTAGATGTGACTCTAATAATGAGAAAAAACCACTACAAAAAAGTTAAATGATCACTTTTGTTGATAATGTTGGGAGTTCATGATGTTTTTCAACGAGTTTTCCATTTCTCCAAAAGCTCAATTTGGCTCGAGGCAAAAGCAAACCAGGGTCAATACACTTGCAACGTAAGTCGTTTCCGCTTCTTTCAATGACTTGAAAAGTCGCCATTCCTCCATCAACCACAAGTTCGTCACCTTCTTTAATTCCTGATACAGAAAAGCATATGAAATCAAG